GGATGCCATTGAATCTCTAGATTGCTTTTGGTAAGAATGCCATTTTTGCTATGCTTATCCTAACTATCCAAGAGCATGGGCAATCTTTCCATTTTTTTGTAAAATTCTTCAACTTCATTCTTCAAACATACAGTTCTTTCACTTGCACAGTTAGTGTTATCCCAAGATATTTTAGGTTGTTTGGAGACGTTGCGAAGGTTGATGTTTCTCTGAATTCTTTATCAACCCTCTCATCATCTCATCTGTATATAGGAGAGCTACTAATATTTTTTATTTAATCTTGTACTCTGCCACATTACTGAAGGTGTTGATCAGCTGTAGGAGTTCTTTAGTAGAATTTTTAGGGTCACTTATGTATATTATCGTATCATCTTCAAATAGTGACAGTTTGACTTCTTGTTTTCCAATTTGTATCACGTTGATCTTTTTTTTGTTATCTTTTTGTTCTAGCTAGAACTTCTAAAACTATGCTGAATAGATATGTAGAAAATGGGCAGTGGTGTCTTGTTCCTGATTTTACTGGAAAGACTTTAAGTTTCTCTCCATTTATATTGGTGGTGATTATTTCCTTTCTGTATATTGCCTTTATTATGTTTTGGCATGTTCCTTGTATCTGTGACCTCTCCAAGACCTTTATTAAGAAGAGGTGTTGGATTTTCTAGAAGGCTTTTTTCAGCATGTAATGAGAGGATCATGTGGATTTTTTCTTTCAGTTTGTTTATGTGGTGGATTACATTGACAGATTTTCATACACTTCACCATCCCTGCATCACTGGGATGAAGTCAAATTGATCATAGTAGATGATGTTTCCGATGTATCCTTGGAATCAGTGTACCAGTATTTTATTGAGTATTTTTTCTTCTTTTTTTTTGAGTTCATCATTTTTCCCTTTTTAATTATTTTTTAATTTCATGTAACATTACAAATAACATTATTCCTCCAACTCCTGCTACTAACCCCTCTCATCTTCCCACCAGCCCACCCTATCCACTTCTCCTAACAGGGCTTCAAAAGGGGAGTCAATGAATTCTGTCACTTTAAGGTGGGACTGGGTCAATCCCCTCCCCCTTTCATTAAGGCTCATGGCATTCTCTCACAAGAGAAAGGGCTCCAACAAACTAGCTCATGCACCAGGGGAAGATGCTGGTCCTGCTGCAAGGGGCCCCTCAGATAGCCAAAGATTCACAACTGTCTCCAACATGCAGATGGCCCAGTTCAGTCCCATGGATACTCCATAGCTGTTGGTCTAGACTTCAGGGCAAGCTTGGTTCAGCTGTCTCTGTAAATTTCTCCATCATGATCTTGACCTCCCTTTATCATGTATTTCCTCCTCCCTTATTTCAGCCTGGTCCTTGGTTGTGGATCTCTGCTTCTGATTCCATCAATTACTGGGTGAAGGTCTATGATGATAATTGAAGTATTCACCAGTCTGATTACAGGGGAAGGCCAGTTTAGGCACCCTCCACACTATTCTAGGAGTCTTAGCTGGGGTCCTCCATGTGAATGATTGAGAATTCCTCTAATATCAGGTTTCTTCCTAACTCATAGGGGCTCTGGCTATCAAGGTATCTCTTTACTCACTCTCCTGCTCAATCCCTCCACACCCACTGAACATCCCATTCCCCTATTGTTATTGGATCAGTGTTGATGAGGGAGATTAGTCTGCATTTCTCTGTCTTTTTTTCCAGTCTTTATGTCTAGGTTTCATTTTACATTCCAACCACAGTTCTCCTCAAACCCCTCCTTCAGCCCCCTTGTATCCGTCTACAACCTCACCTTCCCACTAGCCCAGCACCAGTCCACTCCTTCTCTAGGGTTAGGGCTCCCATAAGGAGTCAACATAGTCTGGCATAGGCCAGGCCCCTCTCCCATGCATTAAGAATGAGTATGGAATCCCACCATAGGATGTGGCTTCCAATCAGATAGCTCATGTACTGGAATTATATGGGGATCGTTCTGCCACTGAGTATGTCATCCCATCCTAAGGAATAGGCTCCCCCTAGCTAGTTCATGTACCAGGTTTGTATCCTGGAATACCGCCAGGAGGTTCTCAGATAGTCCAAGCTTTTCAACTGTCTCCCACATACACAGGTCCAATTTCAGTCCTCTGGAGTTTCCACAGTTGTAAGACTAGAGTTCACGAGTTTCCAAGAGCTTGGTGCAGCTGTCTGTAGATTTCTCCATCATGATCTTGACTTCCAGTGCTCATATACTCCCTCCTGCCTCTCTTAGAATGGATTCTTGGAGCTTGGCCACTTTTCTGGTTATGGATCTCTGTGTCAGGTTTCATCAATTACTAGATGAGGGCTCTAAGATGATAGTTGGCATATTCAACAATCTGGTTACAGGAGTTACAGGGGGCCAATTCAGGCAACCTCTCTACTATTGTTAGGAGTAGTAGCTGGGGTCCTCCTGATAGGAGAGACAATGAAAAGTAGCCTTGAATGCATTATCACAAGAAACCACTTCCTAAATATAACACCAGTAGCACACTGGAAGCAACAATCAATAAATGGGACCTCCTGAAAATGAAAAGCTTCTCTATAACAAAAGACACTGTCCATAAGACAAAATGACAGCCCACCGAATGGGAAAGTTTACCATGTAAAGAATTGGTGTAAGTTTACTGCCCTGGAAGGTCCCACAGCCCTTGAGCCCCAAATAAACACAGAAACACTATATTAAGTACAAAACTGTTGACCAGTGTCTTGGGCTTCTTATTGTCTAGCCCTATCATACTTATTAAATCATTTCTATTAATCTATTTATTACCATGAGCCTGTGGCTTACTCAGCAATTCCCTGGCATGGTGTTACTCTGGCAGAACCCTCTCTGTGTGTCACGATTTCACTCTGCCTAACTTTCCCAGAATTCTCTTTCTGTCCTACACCCACCTGCCTTCCTGCCTCATTGACCGAACAGTGTTTTACTCATTAACCAATGAGAGAAACATATATACAGGAGAACAACCCCATCAGCTGATTTCCAAAATTTATAAGGAATTTGAGAAACTAGACATCAAAATACAAAATAACATAATTGAAAAATGGGGTACAGAGCTGAACAGTGAATTACAACCAGAAGAATTTCAAATGACCCAAAGAAATTTAAGAAAGTGCTTAGCATCCTTAATCATCAGCAACATGGAAATCAAAATGATGAGATTACTGTCTTCTACCTGTCAAAATGTCTAAGATCAAAAATACTGAGGACAGATTATGATGGAGAGGATGTGTAGTCAGGGGGAAACACCTCCACTGTTGGTAGGACTGCAAACTTGTAGAGCCATTTTCAAAATCAATATGGTGAATTCTAAGAAAATTGGGTATCAATCTACCTCAAGATCCAGCAAGATACCACTCTTGGGTATTAACCCAAAGGATGCTCAATCATACCACTAGGATGTTTGCTCAACAATGTTTGTAGCAGCATTGTTTGTATAGCCAGAAACTGAAATCAAGCTAGATGCCTCTCACCCAAAGAATGGATAAGGACGATATGGTACATATAAACAATGGAGTACGATTTAGTGCTAAAAAATACGAAGACATCTTGAAATTCACATGTAAATCAATGGAACAAAAAGAATCCATCCTGAGCGAGGGAAGCCAGCCACAGAATGATAAACACAGTATGTAATCACCCAATATAGATATTAGACATGAAACAAAGAATAACCAGCCTACAATCCACAACCCCAGAAATGCTAGGCAACAAGGAGGCCCTAAGAGAGACATACATGGACACCACCTGAGAGGAGAGGAAGAGAACAAGATCTCCTGAGTAAATTCTGGGTATGGGGGAAGGAAGTGGAGAGGAGTGGAGAAGGGGAACCAGAGGGGAACATGAGGAATCAGGAAGGTCAACGCGGGGGAAGTACAGAGGGGAACAAGGGCAGAGAGGCAAACTAGGTCCAATTCCTTGAAAAACCAACATGACTAAATAAAATGTAAGCCAAACAAATAAAGTACTCAGTTTACTACTTATGTTGAGTAAATAGGGGACCAAAGAAGAATTACAGAGAGAAAAATAAAGTCCCCTGCCACCTTTAACCACTTGCAAGGTTGATCTTCACTTCAATATTGCCAAGAACACAAGGAAACAATTTCCACAGTTTAGTAATGAAGACAACAAAGAAATTTTGTCAGAGGGCAAAGAAAACTGGGCTCCATCATCCATGGTCCTAGAAATAACACATTTTTGTATGGGGTACTCTGGAATGACACAACTACTGCAATTAATAAAACAACCATCCCACCACCCTCTTATGAGACCTAGGGATTCTGGTGAAAAATAACATCAGGATCTTATGAGACAGAAGTGATGACACTTCTTCCTCTGAGGCTCATAGTGGTATCTCACATGTCCTCGGATGCCTTGGAAACAGAGCATCTTGTTATAGCATCAATGTCAGTGAGTGAGCATATCTTTTAAATCCACCAGGCTCAGTTTAAACCAAAAGGAACTGAACACCATGAGTGCAGAGATGATGAGGATCATAACAGGCAAATGTTGATACCGAAGGTTAGGTACCGAGTCTACAGGACATCAAACAGCCCTACATTACTTTCTGACTAGCCAAACCAGTGTCCATAACACAGAGACCACAAATCTTCCTAAGTCTATCATTGTCTTTGTCAGGATTTATCATTGCCATTAAGGATAAAAGGTCTTTGTCATGGGTTAATGTGTGGCCTGACTGGAGTCACTGGGCACTTAAGACACCCGGGAGACTGTCAATGAAGTGAACACAGTTGCCTCTGCCTCACACTCTGCTGCCAGTGTCAGCAGCTAAGCCCACCGCCAGGCTGTGCCAGATACTCTGAAAGCCCAAAAAAAAACACCCTCTGTCTCTCTGAGGTGGGATTATGGCATAGATTTGTCAGGAGCCATGAAAAAGAACTAGACAATGGTGATAGGATTGGGCTGGCTATGATTGGTCCACATTCATGTGATCTCACAGGGAGCCACTGTGAGATATGACAGCCCCCCACCCATCTAAAGGACCAACTGGTCCTGGATCTTTTCCTCATTCTGCTGTGAACCTGTTAGTAGGCTACGAAGCAGTTGGATTCAGAGTTTGTTCTGAGAGCTTTCGTTTTTTAGTATTATCTTTGGAATTGAACATCTGTGATCTGCACTGACCTGAACATCGTGAGTTTACTTACTGGGTGTTGGATTGATACCTGGATTTGGATTTACTGTTTATACTTTTGGATTTACTTTGCATATTTGCTTCTGTTTTGTGTTTATGCCAACCCTTTTCTATTATCTACTCATTTACCTTTTCATTTTGTACGTTGTTTATTTCTTTACCTTAAAACTTCTGTTATGGCCATGAGAAAAGGAATGCATTGGTGGGAGATGCAAAGAGGAAAACAGAAGTTTTAAGGTAAAGAGAAACCCTGTCTCGTAAAACCAAAAAAAAAACCTTCTGTTAGTGTAAATTAGCAATAAAAAGGAGGAGTTTCAGGATTCCATGATCTTGGATCCTACCCACCAGCTTTGTGACTTCCCTGTGTTTATCAAGTCCCCTATCACAGTAAGAATCTTCCGCTGCATCATGCCACTCATAAGACAAAACATATCGTGGGGGATTTTGAAGGACAGCACATTTCCTCATGGACTCAGAGTGCCAAGGACAAGGTACCATCACTTTGATAACCATAAATATGAACTTAAGATAAAGGGACTGAGTTAACATGAATGTAGAAACTAGGAGGTCTATAGCACTCAGAGCCATTAGAGAATGTAAGTGTCTAGGTGAAAGGGACATTGAAGAAGCGTATGTGTTCTCTCTCTCTCTAGTGAATAAGTACATCTCTCATTCAGGTCAGCACAAAGCTCACTGAGGCAACTCATGGTGTTACTGCTGCTCTCATTATAGTCAAATGTCCTCCTTAAAGTTCAAATGACAGAGGACTCCCAACATGTCTCTGAATTTCTGATCTCTTTTGGGGGGGGTGCTATCTGGGGAGGTTGTGAAACACCTGGGTGGCAGAACCCAGAAGGAGAAATTGGGTCATTAGCGGCAATGGAATTTGCAAAGGCAATGCTACAATGTTTGAGATCCAACTTCCCCAGTCACCTTCCATGCCTTTCCTGTCCTTGGAGAGCCAGAGCATACATATGACCTATGTATCTTATGTACTTATGTAGCTTTTCCTCAAGGGTTTAGTTATGGCCATGAGAAAAGGAATGCATTGGTGGGAGATGCAAAGAGGAAAAACATCTTTGAGTTGTGAATAGCCTGAAAGGGATTTGCAGTGACCTCACTAGAGCATTGTGAGGTCTTTCAGACCCTGCCCATTGACGGCACTGGCTGGTCTGAGTCTTGTACTCACACTGCAGAGGTGTTGCTTGTTGGACTGCAAGGAGTTAGGACTAAGAAAGCACACCATGTAAACTTTTAAAACTGATTACTTGGAAACAGACATAGTTGATCTGATTTGACCTCAGAAATTTGAGTTTCTTTCCTGCTTTGTTGGTTTTGATCTACATCTCTTGAATTATTTTGTATGAATTTGTCTGTGAATTTCGTTTCTTCTTTTCTATATCATATAATTCTACTGTGCTAGTTAAGGGCTGCCATCTTTTAGAGTCCATCCAAAGGAGTTTAAGAAATAGGAATTGAATACCAGGAGTGTAGAGGTCATGATGTCTGTATTACTGGATTATTAGAGACCCTATAATCAAATGAAAATCCCATTGAAACCAAGTGTAGGTTCACAATCTCACTAGTCCTGACCCAAAGTCTTGAGTCTGTCCTCTTTGTACTATGGGACTTAGCATGAATAAAGACAAAATGTACTCCTCAAGGATAGGCGTGAAATCCTCACACTTCCTCACATTGTCTGAATGCTTATTCTCTGGTATGGAGTGCTCATTGGTCTGGGAAGTCAAGAAACCCTAAAACACTAGAGAACAGCAGGAGGAATTATGTGACTGCCCACATCCCCATTCCACTTACCAGCTCCTCCCAAATACCATGCCTTCCCTCTTCTCTGAGAGAATTGGAGAAGGGATACCTTTTGTCCCTTAAGTTGCATCTTGTCAAGGATTTGTTAACTGTCTTGATCAAGTAATGCAGTCCCTAGTATTAGATAAACTATTTTGGGTTATTACCTGCAGTTACTTGTCCATCCCTTCCAGTGACATCACTTGAGCTTTGTGAGAAATGAAAGAAATCCATTCATAGAAGACATTGCAGTATAATGGGGTTAATCCTGAAGCTGCAGAGAAACTCAAGTTGGATGAAGAGATACTGTAACCCAGCATTGCTATTGGCATACGTGGGTTTTCCTAGTTTCATAGACCTTGACATTGGGAGTTTTCCTCTCTGGTATTATAGATTCCGTGTTCTGAGTTTCCTTTGGATTCACAAACTCACCCCTTGTTTTTGACTCACAGATTTCTTCTTCTGTTCATTTGTTCTTTAAACAAATTGTTTTTTGATAAATTTGCTAGACCATGTTGTATACTGGTTTCTTTTTTATTATTCCAAACATTAACTGTGTCAAGCAAGAAACACCCCTGTGGCACATGTACATGTGCATATTGCGAACTGGATGTTTCATCAGATGATTTTCATCTGCTGTGTTATATTGCACCACTCACTGGCATGTGCTTACTCTTTGCCCTTTTGTTTGAGATACTGTCTACCGAATTGTGGATCATTATTCTTGGGATATATATGGAACATTTATATTACAACCCATGCTATATTGTAAAAGGAGGGGTTTTTTGTAAATGGAGTTCTTAATTGAAATGGATAATTAAAAACCCACAGTCGAATATAGAGGGAAACACTGAGATCAAAGACGAGGAGCAAGCCACTGCCACACCTTAGCTCCTTAGCATCTCAGCAGAAGAGAGAACAAGTTCTGTTCTCTCTGCTTATATCCTGATTCTGTCCAGGTACCTCACTTCCTGTCTGTCTGTACAGACCTCCAGCCCTGTATTGTTAACTAGTGACAAGCTCCATATTCTGACATTCAGAAAGGCTTTATTGGTACAAGGAAGGTCTCACCACACCATATTCATGTGTATTTTACAAAATAACACAATTCCATTGTATGTGACTGAGCATGGGTGTGTGTGTTTGTGTGTGTGTGTGTTTGTGTGTGTGTGTGTGTGTGTGTGTGTGTGTGTGTGTGTGTGTGTGTGTGTGTGTTTATGGTTTGGCATCAGGGTACTACTGGCTTTTGACAATGTTTGGAATGATCCGTCCTTGTGTGCTTAGTGAAGCAGCATGAGGATCATTGACCTCCATTGCCCCTTAGAAACAGCAGGTAATTTATTCAATCTATTGGTCCTGGGATGTCAGTGTTAGGAGAGACAGTATTACTCTTCCAATCTTGCACCCATATCAATCTCTTCACATGTTCCGTAAGCTCCTGAATTTCTCATCATATGCAGGGTGCAGTAGTGGGTAGGCAGCAGGGGATGCATGTTTGGTATCCTGATATATCAGTGGTGAGTTCTGGTTGTGAATTGAGCAGTATCTGTCTTTGAGGATTGTCAATCTCTGGAGTAGAAGGTTGACAGAAACCCCGAGGGGTCTCATGAATTTTACACATCTCTTTCCTCTCTCACATTTCAATAATTTGTGTCTTCCTTTGGGTGATTCATGTCAAGAGCTTCTCAGATTGGTTCGTCCTTCAAAGGACGGGATCATCTTTCTCTGACCTTTGTTTCAAACTCAAGAGTACAATTACTTCCTCCATGAACTTTCTTTTTTTCTAACATGAGAGTATTTATTGGCTGCTGAGTTGTGAAGTATGTACCTTTAAGGACAAACTCCTGTATTAATGCATTTTCAAAGTGTCCTGTCTCTTCTGCAGCTAAAACCTTATGTGGAAAGTAAGCATGCCCAGACGATTTCCTTTTTGCCATCTTTATAATACAGGCTGAGCATACCCCCAAAGTGTCTCTATCTACCATTTTAGCTTTGGAAATGTGTGCTTCAGAACCCTGAGCTGAGCATGCTCAAAAATATGTCCACTGTCTTTCCTTCTTAAACTGAATGTGCTCCCTGCATGAGTGTTCCAGGAACATGTACACCATTACAGAGCTTTCCCATGTAAAATCCCTTTGGTGTTTTCACTCAAAGAAAGTGCTGCTTGGGGAAGAAAGCAATTCTGCTGTTCCCTTACCTACTGCAGGGAGCCAACTTCCCTCACTTTCATTTCTTTTTTAAGTATATTTTTATTTAAATTAGAAACATGCATGCTTCAAATGTCAATCCCAGCTCCCCCCTTCTCCCTCCACCAGCACCACCCCCACTCCCCACCTCCAGCACAATCCCCACATCGCCAGGGATGGTGAGGCCCTCCTTGGGGGGATCTCCAGAGTCTGTCAATTCATCCAGGGAAGGACCTAGGCCCTTCCCCATGTGTACAGGCTGAGAAAGCATCCCTCCATGTGGAGTGGGCTCCCAAAGTTCATTTGAATGCCATGGTGAACACTAGTCTACTACCCAAGGCACCAGAGATTTCTGAGGCCTCCTCACTGACACTACATTCATGGAGTCTGGATCAGTCCCCTGTTAGCCTCTTAGTCATCAGTCTGGGGTTCAAGAGCTCCCCCTTGTCCAGTCAACTGTCTTTGGGGTTTCACCAGCACAGTCTTGGCTGCCTTGCTCATCACTCCTCCATCTCTGTCACTGGATTCCAGGGGGTCAGTTCAGTGTTTAGCTGTGTGTATCTGTCTCTGCTTCCATTAGTCACAGGATGAAGGTTCTAGGATGTCACATAAGGTAGTCATCAACACCAGGTGGGGGCTATTAATGTAGTCTCTCCGCTATTACTTAGTTTTCCAGTTGGTGTTATCCTTATACATCTCTGGAAATCTCACTAGTGTCAGCTCTCTCCTCAAAGCTATAATGACTCCAGCTATTATGGTATCTCTCATCCTGATCTCCTCTATTTTTACCCTGACTCAACCTTCTTGCTCCCCCATGTCTTCTTCTATCCTCCTCTTATCTTGGTTCCCTCTCTTCTCCCCCCTTGTTCCCAATCTGCTCAGGAGATCTTGTCTCTTTCCACTTCTATGGGGTATAATGCATATCTCATGGGAACTTCCCTATTTCCCAAACTCACTGGCCCAGGGATTATAAGCTGACACTCCCCTGAACCATGTCTAAAATCCATATATGAGTGAATACATGCCATGTTTGTCTTTGTGTGACTGGGTTACCTCACTCAGGATGCTTTCTTCTAGTGACATCCATTTGCCTGCAAAGTTCAAGATTCCATTGTTTTTTTCCGCTGAGTAGTACACCATTGTGCACATTTTCTCTATCTAGGTTGCTTCCAGGATCTAGCTATTACAAATAATGCTGCTATGAACATAGTGGAATGGACATCCTTGTTGTATGAATAGGCATCATTTGGGTATATGCCTAAGAGTAGAATTGCTGGGTCGTGTGGTAGACTGATTCCCATTTTCCTGAGGAATCGCCATGCTGATTTCCAAAGTGGCTGTACAACTTTGCACTCCCACCAGCAATGGACGAGGGTTCCCCTTTATCCACATTTGATTTTTGACATTCTGACAGGAGTAAGATATCATCTCAGGGTTGTTTTGATTTGCATTTCCTTAATGGCTAAGGATGTTGAGCACTTTCTCAAGTGTCTTTCAGCCATTTTAGTCTCCTCAATTGAGAAATCTCTATTTAGTTCAGTCCCCCACTTTTTTTTATTAACCTAAATATTTTTATTAAAATTAATTTTGAAAACAAAATGACAGCATTGTTTCACATTTGTGCAACTTTTTTCTGACAACAGAAGGCAGCTGGAGTCTGAGATCTGCTTTGAAGTAAATGAAGAATGCTTTCACCAGGAACTGCACAGAAGGAAAGATTTCAGAACCCCTGTAGAACCACAGCAACAAAACCATTTCTCAGTAGAGACCAGAGCCACTGACAGCATCAGAATGACAACTACTTCCATGGCCAGTATGTTTAAAGGAAACTTGAGGTCTTGTTAACACAATTTGAACTTTTTTTTACTTATTTAGGCCAGGGTCTTGGCCAAACACCATAATATTGAGCAATACCCCCCAACCCCCAAGCCCACAAACTGGAATTTGTTTTGGAAATAAAGTCTCCTGGACTCCAGGGATCCTTTTTCTTGGTTCCCAAGTACCTGGAATTACAGGCATATACTCAAACTGTCAAAACATCAGTTTTTAACTTGAGTTTAAAATTCACAATATTACCAGCCAAGATTACATAGTAGGATTTTTTTAAGTTTTGTTCCAAACTAGAGAATGCAACACGCTGTACATAACCAGCACTGACTCTGTAGTGTTTCAGAGTTTACCAACCCCATTTGCTCATCCTTAGGCTCCCTCATGAGACGAAGGTCCAGAGCAGACCTGGTTGGTCCAAGACCATCACTGAGGCTGTGGGCTGAGTCCCATGTCCTTCCTCATTCAGCTGCCCGGTGCTATCTCAGAAGGAAGACAGAGCCCTCGGTGTTTCCGGGTGCGAGTGACCCCCAATTCCAGCCCTTACAGGTTCCTGTGACCTTGTGATGATGCACCCACAGGACACCTCCGTTCTGGTGATGACTGCACTTTTTGGGTTTTTTTCTGGCATTGAAGAGGCCCCTTCTCAGGTCACTCTTTCCACACACACGAGACAGTAACCATTCTCGAACTTAACGGCTTTATTTGACACAAAATACAATATGGCTGTGGGAACAGCAAACTCCAAAAGCAAAGGAAAGAAAAAAAACCACGGTTCTATCTAATTTATAATTAACAGGAAGGTAAGTCACTACATCAGTAACAAATGGGTGAGCTTTAGGGAGAGTCATTTCTAGTGCCCATACTTTTGGAATTCCCACTCTCTGCTGTCCAAGGGACACACCTGCCTTGTTTTGAGCCATCGGGAGATGCAGTGGAAATGAAAAGCATGATTACAGACTCCCCACGCAACAGTACACTCTTCGGAAGTGGCAGATGCCTGCTTGGCCTGACATTCAATGCAAAGATCCACAATGTGGTTCCTGCAGATGGCACAGTTATCAACCACAATATCCCAGGCCCAGAGGGCTACTGCATTCCACTTTTTCACTTCAAAGCGCTTCTTGCCCACGCTGCTGTTGGGGTATCCACATCCATCACTGCTGCCATTTTGGAAACACCCAGTCCCCTACTTTTTAATTGGATCTTTGATGTTTTGGACACTTGCTTCTTGAGTTCTTTGTAAAGTTTGGAGATCAGCCCTCTGTCAGATGTAGGGTTAGTGAATACCTTTTCCTAATCTGTAGGTTGCCTTTTTGTCTTGCTGACTGCATCCTTTGCCTTACAGAAGCTATTCGGTTTCAGGAGGTTCCATTTATTAACTGTCGATCTCAGTGTTTGTGCTACTGGTGTTATGTTCAGGAAGCAGTCTTCTGTACCAATTCATTCAAGGGTACCACCCACTTTCTCTTCTAACAGGTTCGGTGTGGATTTATATTGAGGTCTTTGATCCATTTGGACTTAAGTTTTGTGAATGGCGATAGACATGGATCTATCTGCAGTCTTCTACATGCCAATATCCAGTTATGCCAGCATCATTTGTTGAAGATACTATCTTTTTTCCATCGTATAATTTTAGCTTCTTTGTCGAAAATCAGCTGTTCATAGGTTTGTGGATTAATCTCAGAGTGTTCAATTCGATTCCACTGGTCTACCTGTCTATTTTTGTGCCAATGCCAAGATGTTTTCAGGACTACAGCTCTATAATAGAGCTTGAAGTCAGGAATGGTGATGCTTCCAGATGTTGCTTTGTTGAGCAGGGTTGTCTTGGATATCCTGGGTCTTTTGTTTTGCCATGTAAAGTTGAGAATTGTTCTTTCAATGTCTGTGAAGAATGTGCTGGGATTTTGATGGGGATTGCATTGAGTCTGTAGATTGCTTTTGGAAAGATTGCCATTTTTACTACATTGATCCTACCTATCCAAGAGCATGGGAGATCTTTCCATTTTCTGGTGTCTTCTTTAATTTCTTTCTTTAAAGACTCAAATTTCTTGCGATACAGGTCTTTTACTTGTTTGGTTAGCGTTACCCCAAAGTATTTTATCCTGTGTGTGGCTATTGTAAGGGGTGATGTTTCCCTCATTTTTTTCTCAGCCCTCTTATCTTCTGTATATAGTAGGGCTACTGATTTTCTTGAGTTGATTTTGTATCCTGCCACTTTGCTGAAGTTGTTACTCAGCTGTAAGAGTTCCCTGGTAGAGTTCTTTGGGTCATTTATGTAAACTATCATATCATCTGCAAATAGTAAAAATTTGACCTCTTCCTTTCCAATTTGTATCCCCTTGATCTCCTTTTGTTGTCTTATTGCTCTAGATAGAACTTCGAGTACACTATTGAAGAGGTATGGGGAAAGGGGACAGCCTTGTCTTGTTCCTGATTTTAGTGGAATCACCTTGAGTTTCTGTCCATTTAGTTTGATGTTGGCTGTTGGTTTGCTGTGTATAGTTTTATTATGTTTAGGTATGTTCCTGTTATACCATCTCGCCCTGAACTGTTTTTGGTTGGGAGACTTTTAATGACTGCTTCTATTTCCTTAGGTGTTATAGGTCTATTTAGATTGCTTATCTGTTATTGATTTAATTTTGGCAGGTGATATCTATCCAGGAAGTCATCATTTCCTTTAAATTTTCGAATTTTGTGGAGTACAGGTTTTTAAAGTATGACCTGATGATTCTCTGGATTTCCTTAGTGTCCATTGTTATGTCCCCCTTTTCATTTCTGATTTTAATAATTTGCATGTTCATATTCTGCTGTTTGGTGAGTTTGGATAAAGGTTTGTCTATCTTGTTGAATTTCTAAAAGAACCAACTCTTTGTTACATTGATTCTTGGTATTGTTGTCCTAGTTTCTGCTTTATTGATTTCAGGCCTCAATTTGATTATTTCCTGGCATCTACTCCTCCTGGGTGAGTTTGCTTCTTTGTGTTCTAGAGCTTTCAGATGTGCTGTTAGTTTTCTAGTATAACTATCCTCCAGTTTCTTCATGTGGGCACTTAATGCTATGAACTTTCCTCTTAGCACTGCTTTCAAAGCATCCCATAAGATTGGATATGTTGTGTCTTTATTCTCATTGAATTCTAGAAAGACTTTAATTTCTTTTTTTATTTCTTCTTTGACCCAGGCATGATGCAATAGTGCACTATTCAATTTCCATGAGTTTGTAGGGTTCCTGCAGCTTGTGTTGTTGTTGAACTCTAACTTTAAAGCATGGTGGTTTGACGAGACACATGGAGTTATTCCAACTTTTTTGTACCTATTGAGGTTTGCTTTGTTGCCAAGTATGTGGTCAATTTTTGAGAAGGTTCCATGTGGTGCTGAGAAGAAGGTATATTCTTTTGTGTTTGGATGGAATGTTCTATAGATGTCTGCCAAAACCATTTGCATCATAACCTCTATTAGTTCCTTTGTTTCTTTGTTAAGTTTCTGTCTTGTAGTCCTGTCTAGTTGTGATAGTTGGGTGTTGAAGTCTCCCACTATTAGTGTGTGAGGTTTTGTGTGTGGTTTGAGTTTTAGTAATGTTTCTTTTACGAATGTGGATGCCTTTGTATTTGGGGCATAGATGTTCAGAATCAAGACTTAAACATTGGTGGAGTTTTCCTGTGATGAATATGAAATGACCTCCTTCATCTCTTTTGATTGATTTCAGTTTAAAGTCTAGATATTAGGATTGCTACCGCTGCTTGTTTCTTTGGGCCATTTGATTGGAAAAATCTTTTCCCAACCCTTAACTCTGAAGTAATGTCTGTCTTTGAGGCTGAGGTGTGTTTCTTGTATGCAGCAGAAGGATGGATTCTGCCTTCAAATCCATTGTTAGCTAGTGCCTTTTTATGGGTGAGTTAAGACCATTAATACTGAGGGATATTAATGACCTTTGATTGCTCATTCTCGTTTGTTTTGGAATGGTTGTTCTTGGTAGAACTGTATGTGTATTTCCACCCCTTTTCTCTTTTGGGTATTGGTAAAGTGGGATTATCTATTTCCTATGTTTTTCTGGTTGTAGTTAACTTCTTTGGCTTGGAGTTTTCCTTCCAGAAATTTGTGTAGGGCTTGGTTAGTGGATGTGTATTGTTTAAATCTGGTTTTGTCATGGAATATCTTGTTCTCTCCATCTATAGTGATTGAAAGCTTTGCTGGGTATAGTAGTCTGGGCTGGAATCTGTGGTTTCTTAGTGTTGATAGAATATCTATCCAGGACCTTCTGGCTTTCAGAGTTTCCATGGAGAAGTCAGGAGTAATTCTTATAGGTTTGCCTTTATATGTTATTTGACCTTTTTCCTTAGCTGTTCTAAGTATTCTTTCTTTATTTTGTATGCTTGGGGTCTTGATTATTATGTGGTGAGGGGACTTTTTTGTGATCTACTCTATTTTGTGTTCTGTAAGCTTCTTGTACCTTCATTGTCATGTCATTCTTTAGGTTGGGAATGTTTTCTTCTATGATTTTGTTGAATATGTTTTCTGCCCCTTTGAGTTGGGTTTCTTCACCTTCTTCTATACCTATTATTCTTAGGTTTGGTCTTTCGTGGTGTCCCATATTTCCTAGATATTTTGTACTAGGGATTTGTTGGACTTCAGATATCCCTTGATTGATGAATCTATTTCTCCTGGTGTTTCTTCATCACCTGAGATTCTCTCTTCCATCTCTTGTATTCTGTTGGTTATGCTTGCATCTGTAGTACTTGTCTGTTTCCCCAGTTTTTCAATTTCCAGCATTCCTTCAGACTGTTTTTTTTAATTGTCTCCATGTCAGCGTTCAGTCCTTGCATTGTTTGAATTGTTTCTTGTAATTTTTACTTTGTGTTTTCCTCCCTTTCTTCCATTTGTTGGAATTTTTGGTTTGTTTTTTCTTCCACTTCTTTAAGGGATTTTCTCACATCCTCTTTGAGGGCCTCTATCATTTTCAAGAAGGTGTTTTTAAGGTCATTCCCTTCTGCTTCGTCTGCATTGGGATGTACAAGTCTTACTGGTGTAGAATCTCTAGACTCTGGTGGTGTCATATTTGTTTTTCTGTTGCTGAGTGTGTTCTTATAATGCCTTTTCCCCATCACTTCTTCCAATGGGTGTAGAAAGAGTCTCTTCCTCTCCTGGTGGGTAGGTGACCAGGGTTTCCTTTTGGTGGGTGCAAGCAAATCCAATACTCTGAGTCCTCTGCTCTCTGTCCTCTGCCCCGAGTGTGGGTGGAAGTGGACCAGCTCTCTCTTTCAGGCTCCTGGTCATCCGTGGGGTGGGGGAGTAGACCTGGCTGCAGTCCCCAAACCAGGGGATCTGAGAGAGGGCGAGCATGCTCACCTCTGCCCTCTGCCCTGCATTTGGGCTGAATTCCCTGAACTTTCTTATACTTTCTGATACTTCCTTTGGGGTTTGTATTTTTTTAATCTTTGACTTCAAGATGAATAATTGGTATTCTTGAGAGACCTTTGAGTTTCTTGACCTAAAAATTGAGAGCCATAAACTTGTCTCCTAGAGATGACTTTGTTTTTGATTCTAGCATTTGGTGGTGGTGCCATTCTCCACCTGTAAAGGTGGAGGACATGGCAGAGGAAATATCATGGAGTGATCTCAGTGATACCAATGTACAAGCAGCATTGGGACCACTAGGTGCTATGTGGTCTGTCTCAACTCTGGTAAATACTATGTGTTCCCTGAGCCACCTGGAGAAAAACAACTTTGAAACACCTGGAACAAAGAGATTTTATGAAAGCCTTGCCCAAAATGACATGTTTTATGAGCTAAAAAGCAATTATATGATTGGCCAAATAGAAAACCATCGAAAGAGCCATTCCACCAAGAGACCTGCACATTGTTTCACACTCCCTCGATTTCCATTGAAGAGAAGATGGAGTGAGCTGGCTCTGCCCACGTTTTTCACAACCTCTCCACAAAGACCAGGCAACAAAGGCCAGGAGGTAAATGAAAAAAAGTAGCTAGGACTTCTCTAAATCCATCTTACCTGATTTATACATCAGACATTAACTCACCTGTGAATCCTGCCCCACAGAGTGATTGTTTCAAGACAGTAAGAACGTCTGAGGAGACAGAAAATGCTGCATCATTTGGGGAAACACCTGAGGCTGAGATAGAGGAGACCATGACTTTTAGTACTACAACGCTGGATACATTGGGCTCGATAGAAGACAGCAAATGCGAAATAAACCCTGAACCACATGATGATGCCACCATTATGGAGAATGAAGCAAGTGCAGATTTGAGTGACCTTACCAGCCAAATGACAAGAGATCTCACATGTGATGTGTCCCACCCACAGCATGGGAACAACCGATGTGAAATAGTCAATGACATAATGGCTATGGCATTGCAATCTCCATCTACAAATGAAGAGCTCCAGGAGGCACCCATAGCCTCCAACAGCCAAAGAAGAAGGAGCTGGAAAGGGGTGAGGAGGCAGCTTAGGAACCTGTTTCAAAGCTTATGTTGCTGTCTTCTAGCCCCAGAACAAAAGACACAACATCAAGGTATGGAGGGAAAGGAATAGGAAATGGGGTTCAAGGAAATGGTGCAACAAGGCCACAAAATTCACATGGGTATTTGATGTTTCTTTTTCAAAGGCTCTTTGGCACGGATAGGCTGCACACATTTATAAGAGATGAATCATAAGATGTGTCTTATCCTAGAAATAGTTTTCCCACTGAATTCTGATCATGAGGAGTCTGGGGAAGTTGAGCCAGAAGCAGACAGCAGAGGTTGTTTCCAGGCAGAAGGATTCAGGGAGATGGGAGGAAGCAGGGCTTTGTGAAAGGGAGCACAGGTTAGGAAGGGAGGAATCTGGTGGCGAGAGCTGTGGCAGCACAGGGCCACTCTTTTCTAATTCCTTCTATATCCAAGTCAGTGAAACAGTCCTTTGTTTGTGTCTTTTCAAGGGTCGAAGGTGAGGCCCACACATGTGGTTCATAAACCATAGGTCTTTGTTCAGCCTGGTGGGGCATAACAGACACTGGAGGGAACCAGGCCAGAACAGAAAGGAGGTGTGCCCCAAACCTCTTCTACATGCCATACACCTCCAGCAACCTGAGAACAAGCTATGTCAACATCCTCCCATGAAGAGAGGGAGGCTTGATTTCATTGGTCTGCAGCACCAGTGGCTGGGCAATGGAGCCAGCCCCTTATTCACCTGGGCATGAAGAGGAATCCATCCTGCTCCACAGTCCACAGAAGGAAAGTAAGTGCCCTACATGACTCTGGGTCCACATCAACTTCTCCCCTCTTTTCTGTCAACAGAATTAATGAGAAGATTCAAAGAAATCTTTTCACTCCTTACTGTTAGGTGTTAATGAGGGACAGTAAGAGGAGGGGAGAGGAAGAAGAGGGGAGCATATCATAAGAGAAAAGCAGAGGAGGAAAGGGCATGCATGTGAATGAAGAGGAGGAGATCTGTCCAGAGGAAATTCCAGTGTAACAGAAGGAAAGTAAGGGATGAGTATGGGGCTGATGAGAGGGGCCACATCCAAGCAGGAGAAGGATCAAAACTTCCCTGAAGGAGTTTTGGGGTTTATGAGACATGGGCACACAAAACAAGAAGACCATATCTTTCTTGTGCAATCCAGCCTGATTGCTGCCTGGTAATTCTGCTCTTGTCCTGAGATGCTCAGTCAAGGTGTGACTACAAATAACAGAAGCCTCATGCTTCCCAGGAGTCTGTTCCTATGTCTCTCTGACCCAGTCTTGGAATGATCTCATGAAATCTGTGTATTTCTCTTCAAAGCCTTCTTCCTTCAGGACTCAAGATGCTATTCCCCCATCCAAGGATTATTCAAACATACAAATTTCATGTCCCCATAAGGGATTCCTTGACTCTGAGTAAAGGACAAGATAGTTCTTTCTACTGTGAATAGGTAAGTAGAGATTTATAGGACTGTGGACCATCACTGCCCAGACAACGCCAGTTAACTTGACAATTTTCTGAGTCTATTGCCTCCTTTGGGATTAGGAATAGAATGAAACTTCATGGTCAAGGAGTTACAGGTGCACAGCTGAGGTATTGTGTGCAACTTGGCTGGGTGAGCTGTCTGCAGTCTTCTCCTGCCCACCCTTCCCATAGGGAGCATGTTCTTGTGTCACCAGAGGCACCCCAGCTTACATGATTTCTGTAGTAGTCTACTCTTGCAGGACCATTCAGGGGTAGTAAACTGGTGTCCACTGTGTATCTCCTGTGGTAGAACATGAGAGCATGAGTTTCCGCATCCTAATCTTGATGTACACCAACCATTTGTACTTCTCTGCAGATCTTGATGGTCCTTTGTGACTGCTTATCAGTTTGTGCGGGATACACTTGATTGATCACATCTTGCACCTGTAGCCATGATCAAGTCCTACATGGCAGCTTGCTCAGCCTAGTTCTACTGACAGTCATAGTAGCTCATTATCTTATTCTAATACTTCTCCCTTTACATGTTACTTGGACTTTTTCTCTTACATACTTTCATATTCTTATATTCTTTAGATTATATTGTGCTGAGTATAATTTCCTTTTACTTTTGAAATTCTTGTCCAAACTAGCCAACTGTGAATGTCCTGTGAAGCTGGACCTCAGCTAATGTGAACAACAACATTCCTCCTTGGATCAGGTTTCAAAGGGAAGCCATACTGTGCAGGTATGCTTGCTCTGACTTTTCTGTGAGCATCTACCCTTCTGGTAAGAACTGACTTCATTGAAAAACTTAATTGGGAGTTGTGATCTCTTTTTTGTGTCCTCATGACTTTTTCCAACAGACTCCAGCTGTTTTTATTATTCTATATATGTATCAGGTAATATAGGCACCCTGCACATCTGTGAGTTGTGACCTGATAGAGGAAGTCTGAATATTACATTCAAGTCTGGCAAGCTGAGTTTCTCAAGGTGACAGAGACAAGAGGATTCTGAGCATCCTGGAGCTTGATCCTTCTTCATGTCTGCAACAGTTTGTGTCTACACTGATGCTTTTAAAGCAGCTTCAGCGCACATTATCTTTTAGCTTTCATTCGATTACTCTAAGTGATCATAAAATGTAATAAAACAGACAACAATGGATACACTTGACCAGTACTATATCCAAATGCTTCCCATAGAATATATCATGAAATGGAATCCTTTGGAGTTGGCACTGTTCTATTAAATCTATGAATATCATTCTCTGCTTGGTGCATTTCACTGATAGAGAATGATTTTGTGAATGATTTTGTGAAGTTCTGTGTCTGAATTGTGTCACATGTTTTCATGTCTCTTGTGGTTAATATGTAACTAACCTCAATCAGTTCCTCAGACATGCATTGTTTCCTAAGTCACTGTCAACAACCCGTCTTGTACCCTGTATTATCACCTGCTTTCACAACTCAGGTTTAGTGGGTCATTGCTATACCTCCAAGATCTTTCCCATTTCTGCCTTTCCCTAGCTCTCTTCTGTTGGTTTATATCAGTCACATTCAAATGTGGTCTTCAAGCATAAGGGTATGCACAGGTTCAGCACAAAACAATTTTCACAGTTGAGTGGCTAATGGCAGAGGAGACATTGGGCAGAAATGTGGTTAAATATCTCTAGAACACATTGACATGTTTGCTTTAAAGCCATGTATGTCTTCTCAGCCCTGGTTTTGCACTATGCCTAACATCTGCATAAGTCCCTGTATTGGTATTTGCTGTCTTTTCTAGGTCATGCTTTGTCATCTCCTGGGACATTTATCCAGGTCTACCTCACTACTGAAAGCCCCTGTTACACACAGCCTCCCAAACAGGTGCCTCCTCCTCTATATTATAAAGACATATCTATTCATCCTTGGTCTGATGAACTTCTGTGAAAGGTGATGACTACTCTGAGACTTAAAGGAGTGTGCTGGGTCTCTGGCGATTCTGCAGGACAGGTGCTCACATGTGGTAGCTGTAACAGACATGGCTCCTGATGACTGAGTCCTCCACTCTTTGTGATGATCAGGATCTGAAAGAGGTCTTGCCCCAGAAGCCTGGATGTGTTACCACCTGCTTTTATATTCCATGGGACAAAGTCATTCACTTCACCTCCTTGCTGTTTCAGGAACTCACACTGTGAATCAATCACTGGGAGGAGTTAAGGAGAACTCAGTTGCATGGCTAGGCCTCTACTGTGAGGTCCCTGGAGATGAGATAATGAGGTATCCCAGACAGAATACCCTGGTCTAAGAAGCAGTAGGACATACCGACCATGGCTTGGACTTTTCCATCTTCATTTTTCTATCACACAGTACAGGTAGAGACAGGCCTAAGGATACTAGGGAGGACTCCTATACTTAGTCCCTTCTGGTTCAGATCCCCAAGAACTTGTACCTCAACTGTGCTGTTCATGACAGGGGATATCCTTCTGTATCCAGAGAATATATGTTGCTTTTCTTGGTGGGTAAATAAAATTTATTTGAACAATGGCCAGGCAGAATTTAACCGTGTAGGAAAGCCAAAAAGATATGAAGACAGAAAGAATGTATGGTCAGAGACATGGCATGTAGTCACCAGAGGCATAAGATGTGAGGTACCAAGGCACAAGCATCATGGTAAAATATACAACATTAGAAAGGTATAAATTTAGATGTAGAGCTAGCCAGTAAGAAACCTAAGCCATCGGCCAAAGGTTATAACTAATATTTGGCCTATGTGAGAACTAAGAGATGGGATGGAAAACGTCCCACTACATTTCACTGAGATTTCTGCTTTGGCACATTCCTTTTCTCAGGCTGTATTGGCAGAAACATCCTCATTCTCCATGTCTCTTGTATCAACAGCCAGAATCCCTTGCATCCTGTAGAGTGGCTTCAGTGTTAGTGACAATAACATTAATAGGTACCAGCAGATGATGCAGGGGAGTGCTCCTTGGGTTGTCCTGCACTACTACTCTGACTCAGACAGGCAGCTGGAGCATGGAATCACCATTGCATTCTCAGAGTCCTTAGAACCCTCAAAACTGCTGAAAACCTACACACTTCTGAACTACAGGTGGAGGGTGAGGCTCAGTATTACTTGTTATCTGGGGAAATAGTGTTTCTCACACTGAAATAGGCAGATGAGAGGAAGTAGGCATAAATTGTACCTTCTGCTAAAAAAATCATTTCTGGTAGAATTCTTGTAGGAGCCAAAGGGAAGGAAATAATGAGGCTTGCCAACATCACCTGTCAAAGCATTTCTCAAGAACTCAGAGGACCAAAGTATTGGTGTTGGCGATGACAGAAGAGTAGGTCTCCCACAAAGGTGCCTCCAAGACATGGAAGGCAAGCAGTGTGTGAGTATTCAGTAGGGTGACTACTCTGAGCCACACCAGATTTACCTGATAGTCTTCAGATACATATCCAGTAGCAAGCACAATGTGGGGCCAGGAGTTCACGTATCAGCAGCATTGCTCTACTTCAGTCATGGCCAGAAGAAGAGTGCAGCCGACCTGCAAGTACTGGTCCTGAGTCCCAGGAGAAAGCAGAGGTGGCTGAGGAGTTGTTCAAAAATCTGGCTAAAGTGTTCAGTTTCATTGACCAAATTCTCCCAAGAAAGTAGCCTTTTTGTCCAGAGCCCTGAAGAAGTCTAGTAGAGTACCTGAGCAATGGGGTCATCCCCACCTCTAAAAGCTTCTGGCCCTCATTCCCTGTGAAGTGCAAAACTACTGTAAGTCTCAGCACTACTTCTGCACTCCACTGTGTGCAAGGGTTGCACCAACATGCTGGACCAGTTCTCCACCACCGAGTGAGGTAAAAATTTTGTACCCCATACTGAGTTACAGTTTCTCTGCTTGAAAAACAAAAACAGTGCACTGGTGGTCTTTACAGTGTATCCCAAGAAGCACCCATCCATCCAGGATGGGCCACCTTTGGTTCAATCCCCACACAATTTCATCTGATTTCTGCTGCTAGCTGTGGACGGTGACAAGCTGACTGTGTTCAGTACCAGCCTTCCCTGCAGAGGGACTCCATTTACAAAGAGTACCTCAACGGGATTGGAAGTTCCTTTTTTAGAGCTGTCAAAGCGGACATCGTCCAATGGAGGCTAGCTTGGGCACCTGCTGTGCTGCCTCATGGTCTCCTCAGAGCTGGTAGAAGGGAACATCAGTCAGGATGACAGCATAAAAGCTTCCTGATCATCTTGGAGATGTTCAAGACCAGCACCAATGGGACTGATTTATTGCCATGCTGAACATGACACCTCTTACCCAGTAGGCTCCTCCTCAGTGCATGTGTAGAGGGGCCAGCTGTGCAGAGTTTGTCCCTATTTATGAATGGTGCTTAAGGGTTGTGTGGCCAAGACCATGTATGTACAAGGTGAATTCCTGCTGGCCAACCATGCCCTTCAGACTTCTGTCAATAAAGTATGGCCCTCCTGTAGCACCCTGCTGTCTCTATTGTCTCTGGTTCATTTTGACAGGCAGCCTAGCATAAGTAACTGGTATCCCTTCCCCTGTATCCAGTGGACTCATGGCTGGCCAGATGACACATAGCTAACTATATGAGCCTGGATGGATCCAAAGTCTTGCTGATGAGAGCTGTTTCTGTTTTGTTTGGTTTCTGTTTTGACACAGAGTCATTTGGCAATCATGGTAAGATTCTCAGGTACAGACCATGTGGACCATGGTGGACAAGCTCCTTGGAGGTCACAATCAGCCCTTGAAGGAGCAGCCCTGCTGGTCCACATGAGCCTCACTCTGCTGATCTGCAGATGTTTCAAAGAGTGCTGTGGGTTTCCAAGTCCTTTATGTAGCAGGATTTACTTTTACTGGGTAAGGGATCTTGAGCCTACTGTTTAGTATTTACCCAAATTATGAGTCCAGCAATCAGCAACAGCCTTAATTATTGCAGATACCATCCATAGTTCCAGTCTGATTATAAGGGAGACACATTAATTTTTATAATTGAAATAAATAAGAGTTATAGACTAAGACACCTTTATCTTATCTATCTTACTTGAAAAGGAGCATTATTTATTGAAAAAAAATGGCATTTAAAGGGAGGGCTTCTGTCACCTTTTGACTAAAAATTATTCTACTGGAAAAATATCAGCTGATTTTTGTTACCTACCATAATTTTATGCTATTGTTATGAATGATAATAAAAAGGTAAATCTAAATTTGATTCCAAGTTGTCACCAAATAATAAACACAAAAATATCAAACTAAGGAAGTTCTCAAACCTACTCTAGAGCTAAAAACAAATCCTGGTAAAGGGGAAGGGGAAATTCACCAGTCTGTGTGGGCTTCAAAGTGATGCCACCCCTCTGAAAATCAGGGTGAAATTTTCTCAAAAAGGCTTAAATTAGATATTCTATACAATGAAGCTATGCAAAAAAAAAGACTTGATACCCAACTACAGCTGTACCTGCTCAGCCATGTCTCTAATCATTCTATCCACAATAGTTAAGGAATGAAAGCAGCCTAGCTAACCTTCAGCTGGTTAATGGATGATGAAAATATTGTTTAACCATACAATAAATTTCAGCTCTAAAGGACAATGATATATGCAAATAAATTGATGGAAATGAAACTGATTACATTTAGTGAGGCCACCCAGGTCCAGAAAGACAAATGTCCTCTGTTTCCTCTTACAAGGGATAAATACTGATCTGTCAGGGACCTCCAGCCATCAATCAGCTAGGCTGTATCACGTACTCATAGAGAAGATGTGACACTAAGACCACCCTGCCACCCCTTCTGACATAAAGCAAATTCCAAGTAACAAGCTGGGGTTTACCAGTCAGTTAAAGATTAGCTTAATTGGAAAAACTACAAGGTCCTCAGGAGACAGGCCTGAGCAGTAGTAAATTATAATAGATAGGATCGGATCCTGCTGTCAGGTTAGCAGGCAACATAGAAATTCCTACCCCTGACCTCTTGCCCTGTAGATTAGGTAGCCAGGCAACGCAGCAGACCACCTCTCCCAGTGACCTCTTGCCCCTGCAGGTGCAAGTACACCTTCCCCCTTCCCCTCCTCAGTTCTCCTATATAAATCCCCTTGTGATGAAATAAAGTTGTCGCCTTGATCAGAATCCTGTCTTGGCATCCATTCCTGTATCCCCTGTCCTCCATCTTT